GAAGGTAAGCTTTGGGGGGGGGATAGGTGTAAGAGGAGGAGGGGGTAGAGAGTAAGGGAGGTGGGGGAGGAGGGGAGTGAGCGGGCTGCCGGCTGGGACCCCAAACCACTGAAACAAGCCATTTTCCCCCTCGTCTGGACCCCCGCTGGGACCTGTTTTTCCTGAGGAAGGCAGAGGAGAGAGGAGGGAGGGAGGGGAGGCAGAGGGAGGGAGGGGAGGGAGGAGGGAGGGAGGCAGAGAGAGGGAGGAGGAGGAGGGAGGGAGAGGAGGAGAGGAGGGAGGAGGAGGGGGAGGAGGGGAGGCAGAGAGAGGGAGGAGGAAGAGGATGGAATGAGGAAGGGAGGTGGGAGAGAGGGAAGCGGAAGAGAGGGAGGGGAGGAAGAAGAGTGAGTGAGGAAGGAGGAAGAAGAGTGAGGACAAGGGAGGCAAAGAAGAAGAAAAATAGGAAGTGAAAAATAAGAATAAGAATAAAGAGAGGAAGAGAAAAAAAGAGAGCGAAAGGGAAAGAGAAAGAAAGTGAGACAGGAAGAGAAGAAGAAAAAAAAAGAGAGAGCGAAAGGGAGAAAGGAAGAGAGGAAGAGAGGAGGGAAGGGAGGGGAGAGAAAGACCGCACATATAATAGATGGAAAGGTAGTTGAGAGAGACAGATAAATGGACACACATGAAAGGGAGAAACGAGAGTGATTTAGAGAGTCCGGGAATAAAGGAAGGGCATAGAGAGAGAGGATAAACAAACAGAACAGAGAGCAGAGGAAAAAGAGGGAGAAGTGGCGAGAGAAAATAATCTCAAGTATAAACATATAAATGAGGAAATAAATGATGCAGGAATAAATAATTCTTAAGATGTAGCGATAATAATAATAATGATAATAATAATATCAGTAGTAGTAATAATAATGATAATGATGATGATAATGATAATAGTGATATGATAATAATGACAATAATAATAATGATAATAATAATAATAATAATAATAATAATAATAATAATAATAATAATAATAATAATAATAATAATAATAATAATAATAATAATAATAATCACAATAATCACAATAATAACAATAATACCATGATAACGACAAGAGAGAGACGAGACCAAGAACGAGAAAAAAAAAAAATAAAAAAAAAAAAGAAAAAACAGACGAGCATTTCACAGTAATTAACCCGAATCGGATCCCCGGACCGAGTCGCCCTATCGGATGAGATCGCCGTCGGATCCCGCTCGCCTCATCTCCCTTCGCGGCAGCCTCGCCCTCGCGCACGGCCCAGGGCGAGCAAATCCCCGGCCATTATATTGTAAATCGCTTGTAATCCGACGCTGGTGGGGTTGGGGTGGGAGGCTGGGGGGGGGAGAAGGGAAGGGAGGGTGGTGGGTGAGGGTATGAGAGAGGGAGGGAAGGGAGGAGGGAGGGAGGAGGGAGGGAGGGGGTATAGAGGAGGTGGGAGGGAGGGTATTGAGAGGGAGGGGAGGAGGAGGAGGGAAGGGGGGGAGGAGAGGGAGGTGGGTGGAGGTATTGAGAAGGGAGGGGAAGTAGGAGGAGTAGAATGTAGGATGGAGGGAAGGTATAGAGGGGGGTCGAAGGAGGCAGGAAGTAGGAAGGAAGGAGCGTATGACGCAGGGAGGAGGGAGGGAGGAGGGAAGAAGGAAGGGAAGGTTAAAAATCCCTCTCCTGCTTCTCCTATCCTCGGCTTCCTGCTTAATCCCCCACTTGATTATAGTTTTCCCAACGAGCATATTTTCACAGTAAATAAAACGTGGTATTCGGTTGTTCGGGAAGGAGGGGAAGGGGGGGAGGGGAGGGGGGGGAGAGGGAATGGGACTCGAGAACGCGTGCTGGGTAAGGGCGGGGGGGGGGGTGGCGGGGAGGAGGGGAGGGGCAGGGGAGAGGGAG